GCTATGAAAGAAGCAAGATTTGAAATCGGCGAGGCACACAAACTGAAACGAACTAAATACTCGCGGGGACCAGCGACCGCATGGGTTGAGGTGAGGGAGTGGGGAGGGAAAACCCGCGGAGAGAGACAACGAGGAAGGGCGCGTAGGGAGGGAGGGAGGGATGGGGTCAGCCAAGCCAGGCCAGAGCATGCGAGAGAGCCAGATGGCGCAGAATCCCGCCGAGGGTTGTGCGTTCTCAGAACAGCAATGCACAAAGTTCGAATCGCACCGAGTCACAATATTCGCCGTGCGACGCGTTTCGTGGGTTTCTTCCGAGTCATGCAGCGCCATTTCATTTCGCGAGCCTGTTTCGCACGTCCCCTAGCGAGTTGTTCAGGGCTAGAGGCAAACAAGATTGGCAGCAGTCCCCCTGCAGCCGATGATTCCTGGAGGTTGGTTCTCTCTTGTGGTGCCACAGGAGAGTGTCATGCGACAAGGCGACACAGCGGTGAGAGTGTACAGACTGGACCCAGGCGCACATATGAACGTGGCCAGGTGGCGGCCGGTCCGAGAGCACGTGCAGTGTGTCACCCGCTGTCCTCCAGGAGTAAAGGTGTCAACCCAGTGATCCTGAAGGACGGCGGTGCTCACCAAGTTCGTAGAGAACGAGGGGAGGTGAAGACCTGACAGCTCACCAGACGGGACCGCCGGACACGGAAGCACAGTGGTAGACCGTGCAAGCACTGGGCCCCCAGAGGGGTCAGCCAGTGAGACAGGGACAGGTGCAGGGAGGGGTGTGACCGTGGTACTGTCGCGAAAGAAACAGCGGAAAGCACCAGAGTCAAGTGTAAAGGTGTGCAAGGCCTCAGCAGGTGCAGTACCAGAGAGAGCAGACTCACTAGCAGAGAGGGGATGTTGTGGTGCCTGTGGGGCAAACAAGATTGGCTGGTTGGGTCCACCCAAGGTCCTTGCTAGCAAGAGCTATTTATTCCTTCTCTGTTTGTACCTGAACATAGTCAATTGATTCATGCGAATTCCTTCCTCGCTGGAATTTCGTTTCTACACGGTTCGACGGCGGAATGCTACCCGAGTCAACGCTAGTACGCTAGCACTCCAACGCTAGGCAAACGCTCTCCGAGCCATAACTTCGTAATGGCAGAACTTTTCGCGAGGCAACTTGGCTTATTTTAAAGCTCTTGGAGAGAGCTTCGATATAGCAAATTCTCAGCTTAATCCGATCAACGGTCTGCACGGCACGCTGCGCGACGTTCAAGGTACTCTTGTTATTTTGGCTAAGTCTTTCTTGACTCCTCTCTCTACAAACTTGTGTTAACGGGAATGGAGTGTTGGCCCCGCCCTCGCTTGGGCAATGCCGACGACTTGGTCGGATGTACGGGTGAAGCAGCCGACCGTTCGCAGTGAAGGAGCTGCTCGACGGGCTTCGTCGAGCTGCAGGATGTCACTGTGGAGCTTCCGTCGACCAGGGGTGCTCGACGGGCGCAACTGACTGGCCTGGGCGATGGGTGGGCCGTCCGGGAGGTCGACGGAGCAGTCCGTCGACCTACAGCTCGACGGGGAGGTCTCTGGAGCATCCCGTCGAACTGCAGCTCGACCGGGAGGACTGGGGGGCATCCCGTCGACCTGCAGCTCGACCGGGAGGTCCGCGAAGCATCCCGTCGACCTGCAGCTCGACCGGGAGGTCGACGGAGCAGTTCTGGTCGACGGAAGGGGTCCGTCGACCAGGGGGTAGCTCGAGAGGGAGCTGTGGTCGACCAGCTGCACCTGGTGGTCGACCGGGAGTACCTGGTGGTGTCCAGGTCGACCGGGTAACCTGCTCGACGAGTTCTGCGGAGGCACGCGAACGTCGTCGAGATCGCGATGACGAAGGCGACTTCGGAATGGTATCCCGAAGTCGATGTGGCTTGTCAGGCGCAGACAACAGCCGACGGATGCCCAACGAGGCAAGTCGGGCCAATCGTCTGCGCGCACCTGCGAGCGTGCGCACTGCTGTCTTCTACGGGGCAACGCTGGACAGCCGCACAGCTGCAGCGTTGGCACGCCGTCGACCTGCAGTGTTGGCAGGTCGCTCTTCTGCAGTGCTGGCGCGGTCCCTCTACGCAACGCTGGCAGGCGGTCGACCATGCAGTGCTGGCGGTCGACCAGGCTAGCTCCAGAGTTGCTAGGTGCCTGATGTAGTCCATTCTGTCATTGCTTGTTGAATAATTCTGGAATTCCAACTTTGCTAGTGGAAACTCTTGCCAATTTCTCCCGTGAATGTGCAAGTGCTAAGGAACCAAGCAAAGCTACGATCACTCCTAGTAGTTCGTGCCAACCCCCGTAGTCTAGCTCACTACCGTTGTAGTGTGTTTCTCCGCATGGTGCGGTGAGCGTGGACGGCCCCGCAGATTACCTTTAGATAGGAGCCGACTTTTGCACCTACTAAGTCGTTCGTAGGCCGGCAGCAGCGTTAGTCGTCATGGTCGACCCCGTTGTAGAAGCGGGCGTAGCGGACACCTTGGAGACACGCTTAGCTGATGGGAGGAGACGCCACGCGGATGGCGAGTACGGGACGATCCCCTTGACAGTCGTCGAGTTGGGCATCCGGGCGCAGTGGGCGACGGAACACCCTTCCCGTCCTGCATCTCCTCGACCGGCACGAAACGAAGGTGGCGTCGACGTCGAGGCTGACGGAGGTGCTCGAGTCAGTGGCAGCGAAGGCACGAGGCAGAGAGGGGTGATCAAGGTCGACGGTGGCGTCGACGGGATTCAGGCGCGAGCCCAGCGGTCAACAGCAGCTGCAGGCATCTCACGTGTCGACGTCGATGCTCGACGTCGCTCTCCTCTACGAAGTGGTGGAGGTCTCTCGGCGACGACGCATGTGACAGCGGGCGGGATTGCACCGGCGTACGGCTACTTCAAGTTCTTGCCGGACCGGATCACGGTCGCCCCGCTGCAAGGTCGACGCGACCTCATCACGTGGAGGGAGTCGATCGAACCTCAGCTGGAGGTCGCCGGGCTGAAGGGCTTCGCCGACGGCACCGTGCCGTTTCCGCCCGAGGAGGACGTCGAGCTGCGCGGGGAGTTTTGCGCGGCTCACCTGCTCACCTTCATGGTCATCTCGAGGTGCTGCTCGCCGGTGGTGCAGCTAGCGCTCAGGAGCTGTCGAGAGCGGCTCGACGCTGGTCACCAGGCATGGCGCTTCATCCTGTCGACGTACCAGGTGAAGGACGACCTGTACATCGGCCAGCTGGAGGAGAAGATGACTCACATTCGGATGGGCGAGCAGGAGTCGGCGACGGACTACTGCAACCGTGCTCGACGGATCCTGGCTGAGATGCGGATGGCGGGCGCCGAATACTCGACGGCGTCCTACATCACCCACATCGTCAAGGGCCTGCCGCGCAGCTACAACCTCATGAAGAGGATGATGATGGTGCCCGGCACGCGTGAGTCCCTCGACGAGGACTCCATCACCAGCTACATCCTCCAAGACGAGGCGATGCAGGAGGCCGAACAGCCCACGGAGCTCCTTCCGCAGGCAAACTACGCTGCACCGACGAAGCTGAATCAGCAGCAAGGGCAGCGCGGGAAGTCGGGCGGAGGTGGTAGCGGAGGTGGGCGGTCGACGAAGGACGTCGACGAGAAGAAGTCTACGCGGGGCAAGGGTCGTGGAGGTGGTGGTCGACGGCGGGAGTGCTGGATCTGTGGCGATCCCGACCATCTCTCCTTCGAATGCCCCGACCGCGATGACAGCGACGAGGACGACAGCAAGGGAGGCCGCGGTCGATCGGCCAGCCGTCGCCCACGTCGAGATGAGAAGCCGCGCAAGGAGAAGAAGGCGTCGAAGAAGGCGTCGTCGACGAAGGAAGTCGACAGCTCCAGCGGCAAGGACCGAGGCGACGGGGAGGCGTCGTGCTCGATGGTCAGCGTGGTGGAGCCGACAGTCTCGCTGGCGCCGGAGGCTGGCGAGGACTTTCAGGCGGTGGCGGCAGCTGTGCAAGCTGACCCGATGGCGGTGCTGCTCGACAGCGGGTGCTCCCACCACCTGATGGGGACGAAGGCGGCCTTCGTCGACATGGCGCCGAGCGACGAGGTGAAGCAAGTGCGCGGCTTCAATGGGGCGCTGTGTTATGGTCACAGTAGGCTCCAATAGGCTTCAATGTGCCTAGAACCAAAGATAGAGTGCGCAGTCAGATTTCTGCACAGCGGCTTCAAATGTTCATAGCGATCTGCTCACACCTTCAAATAAACTCATTCAACTTGGATCTGGAGCGTCTTAACGTCGCCTACAATAGGCAATTTAGATCGCACGATTTCATTAAGAATTGACGACACAACGTCAAATTGAACGAACGGCACTAAGGCAGCAACATAGTCTTAGGACACACAATTACGAACAGCTAGGAAGAGTTACGAGTTGGGAAGGAGTCCCATCTCCTTCAAACCCCAAGAACCGAGCTACATTGATCGGGAACCGTGCCACACTGTCCCCAACCAAGAAGGGTCTCGAAACTACCCTCCACAAGGGTCTACACCCATACAAATGTTACACTACACATTGTAATGTAACTATCTTCAATATCTTGAGGTGTACCCTTTTGGTGAGCTTCGAAAAACACTTGAAGCTTGAAACCAAGGCTCGGGTTCTTCATCACAAACTCAACCTTGAGTTCTTGATGGGTCTGCTGCACACACCTGCGACACGCCGAACGTTCGACACAGGACAAAATAGAAACCGCGCACGGGACACACGACAAAATAGAAACCGCGCGCGAGACACAAATGACCGCATTAACACGCGGCTAGCGATAACTCGCTATTGACTCGACACACACACTCGACATCATGACCCATCATTCACACACCATTATAAGCATGAAATATATATTTATTTCATGCACTCATACCACTCCATGCACACACACATGCACGCACACGTACACGGACAACAAGCCGAGTGCAAACCGTAGGTTGCACCAACAAACTCCCCCTCGGGTTGTTGGCCTTAGGATCTTGCTCTCTCAGTTCAGAGCCATCCCAGCCAGCTTGCAACACTTCCAGTGCTGCTGCTCCACCAGCCTCTTGGTCATCATGTCAGCCAGCTGCCCCGTTGTCTTCACGTAGCGCAACTCGACTTCACCCGCGGCCACCATGCTCCTCGTCCAATGCCACTTCACCCTCATGTGCTTGGTCAGACCATGTAACACAGGGTTCTTGGCTAGAGCTATGGCTCCCTGGCTGTCACAATAGAGTGGGGTAGGTCCTTGCTGCTCCTCCCCCAATTCAGCCAGCAAACGCCGCTGCCACACAATCTCCCGTACGGCACGGAAGAGTGCCATGTACTCGGATTCCACCGAGCTCAATGCTTGGTCCACCTGCTTCTTGCTCTCCCAAGCAGTTGGGCCTCCACCAACACAGCAGATGAAGCCTCCCACACTTGTCATATCCTCTGGTTCCGATGCATAGGAGGCATCCGAGAATGCGGTGAGGAACAAACGCCCGGGTTCCACACCATCCGCGCCCTTTTGGCGCCTTTGTGCCGCCGCCGAGTATTGCAGCCCAACGGTCGGTGTTTGGCCAAGGTACTTGGCCACCCTCATTCCAGCTGCTACCTGCTCCTCATTAGGGCATTGCACAACCCTTGCCAGCTGCCCGGTAGCAAACGCGACGTCCGGTCGTGTGTTGACTGCCGCGTACATGAGGCTGCCCACCAATGAGTGAAAACGGCGCCTCTCCTCTTCTCCAACACTCTCCTCCTCTGGTCCCTTCACACACTTGAACCCAGAGGGGAATGGAGTAGCCACATGGCCTTCATTCTGCCCAAAGTTGGCAGCCAATGCCTCCAGGTACTTGCGTTGGTGCACCCGCATGCACCGCTTCTCCACATCACGCTCGATGTGAAGCCCGAGGTAGAAATTCACGTCCCCAAGGGACTTGCACTTGAATTTGTCTTGCAGCTTCAGCATCACCTCCTTCACAAGGTCAGAGGAGGGTGAGAAGATGAGGATGTCATCCACGTACACCACCATGAAGCTCCTCTGCTCCCCCTCGCCAAGCATGAACAAGGAGTGATCGGCCGTTGAGGGAGTGAAGCCGATCTCCTCCAACACCTCGCGCAGCTGTTGGTGTAAGGGCCTAATAAACTCAAGCTATTAGGACTTAATCAAACTTAAAACCTCTCCTCGGGGTCACCTCCAAGGGTCCCTGGGTGCCTGGTACAAGACCAGCCCCTATCCTCGGGTCCGAGTTTGTAGAGAGAGGGATCAAGAAGGACTTAGTCAAAACAGCAAGAGTACCTTGAACGTCGCGCAGCGTGCCGTGCAGACCGTCGGTCGGATTAAGCTGAGAATTCGCTATATCGAAGCTCGCTCCAAGAGCTTTAAAATGAGCCAAGTTGCCTCGTGAAAAGTTCTGCCATTACTAAGTTATGGCTCGGACAGCGTTTGCCTAGCGTTGGAGTGCTAGCGTACTAGCGTTGAATCGGGTAGCATTCCGCCAACGAACCGCGTAGAAACGAAATTCCAGCGAGGAAGGAATTCGCATGAATCAATTTGACTATATTCAGGTACAAACAGAGAAGGATTAAATAGTTCTAGCTAGCAAGGACATTGGGAATCAACCTGGGAACAACCAGGGATGATCCCAAATAATTCCAAGCAACAGAACCAACCTGGCTGGACAAAATAGCAGGTGGTAGGTTGGTAAACAACCTCTGGTTCTGTTTTTCCAACCTGGGAAAACAACAACCAGGTTCAGGTTCTAAAAACAGAACCTGTTTTTGTCTTTGCCCAACCAGCCAAATGCTGGTTCCGCTGGTTTCCCCTGGCCTTGTAGCATGCAGATACAGACAAACAACATCCAACCTTCACCTAAATTGTACCCCTATAGTGCCTTCCCTGCTACACTATAGTTAACCAAACAAAACAGTACAATTCCGAGTTGGATAGAACTGAATCTGCGCAATCAACTCAACCGAACTGCAAAGCTTCCATCTTGGGTTCCTTTGCGAGCTCGTCCTTTCTGCTTGCACTGTTCATAGCGCGTACAATGTTGTGCCGAAGCGCACATTGCGCGAGTACCTGCAAATGCATCAAGCGAAAAATGCGAAAGCAAACAAACACACGAACACACCATTCACACGCAAATGCATTCGCACACGCATACTCGTACAAACAGACGGCAGGATGTCGTGCAATGTGCATTTGCACCCAACAGCAGCTTCAGGTACCACTGCCTAGGGGCCTGCTTCAGCCCATAGAGGGCCTTCTTCAGCTTCCACACTCTGCCGCTGCCATCGTCAAACCCCTCTGGCTGCGCCATAAAAATCTCCTCCTCGAGGATTCCGTTGAGAAACGCCGTGACGATGTCTAGCTGCTTCACCACCCATCCTTTAATCGCGGCTCCCGCGAGTAGGGTTCGCAGCGTCGTCGGCTTCACCATAGGAGCAAACAGCTCCTTGTAGTCCACATTCTCCTTCTGCTGGTACCCCTTGGCCACCAGCCGAGACTTGTAACGCTCGATCTTGCCGTCGGCGTCGGACTTGATCTTGAAGAGCCACTTGGACGTTATCGCCGTACGCCCCTCCGGTAGCTCCACCAATTCGAACGTGTCATTCTCCTCAATGCTCTTCAGCTCACTCTCCATTGCCTTCTTCCACTCCTCAGCATCACCACTCTCCAAGGCCTCCTTGAGAGTTGCTGGTTCTCCCGGCATCTCCACCGGAGAGAAGAATGCGAAGGCACACTCCTCGTAGTCACTCTCCTCGTCGTCTCCGACCATCATTGCCGCTCCAGCTAGGGCCGTCTTGCCCTGCTTCCCTGGCGCATCATAGGTCAGCCTATTAGGGGCTTGGACTCTCCTCTTGCCCCTTCCTTCCTCCTCAGCTGCAGGGACTTGAAGGCCTTGGCGTTGCTGCGGTGTAGCTCGGTTCCGTGGAGCGCTCGTAGTGCGGGAAGGGAGTGTCGGTGCACGTTCGCTCACTTGCTGCACCTCCTCCTCCTCCTCTTCCTCTGCATCCTTGGCCTCCTCTCCCCCATTCACAAGGGAAGATTGCCTTGTGGTGGTGCTGCCGCTGCTCAGCTCCAAAGGCAGCTCCACGTGCTCCAAGCCGGAACTCTTCACCTCCCCAAACCGCACGCCTATCTTCGCCTCATTCTCCGCCTTCCAATCCTTGTACATGAAGTTTTCCATGAACTTGCAGTCCCTGCTCACCATGAACTTCTTGGTGAAGGGGTCCCATAGAAGCCACCCCTTGCTGTTTTGAGCCATGCCCAAGTGCACGGCCCACACCGCCTTGGCACCAAGCTTGTTGTGCCGTAGATGCTTAGGTACGAGCGCCATACACATGCACCCGAACAACCGAAGCATGTCCACCTTTGGCTTCCTTCCAAGCCACTTCACATAGGGCACCCACTTATCTGCTCCCACATGAGTCAAAACTCTGTTCTTGGCCACACACGCGCTCCGCACCGCATCAGGCCAGAAATAGTCGGGTAGCCCGGCTTCAATGAGCAACCCGCGTGCCGCCTCCGTGATTGTCCGGTTCGCTCGCTCGGCGATGCCGTTCATTGCAGGGGAGTATGGCATGGTGAGGGAGTGCCGAATACCATTCTTCTTCAGCCACAACCCAAACTCCTTGCCCAGGAACTCTCCCCCTCGATCGGTGCAAATCGACTTCATTAGTCGGTCTTGTTGCCGCTCCACCATCGGCAGAAAGTCGGTCTTCAACGTTTCAGCCACATCGCTCTTCTTGGCCAGCACGTACACCCAAGTCATGCGGGTGTAGACGTCGACAATGGTGAGAAAGTACTCTGCTCCAGCAGCTCCAAGCTTCAGGGGGCCCACCACGTCCATCACCACCTCATCAAGTGGTGCCTTAGCCGTCGCCTCCGAACTAGATGGGTCTGCTGCACACACCTGCGACACGCCGAACGTTCGACACAGGACAAAATAGAAACCGCGCACGGGACACACGACAAAATAGAAACCGCGCGCGAGACACAAATGACCGCATTAACACGCGGCTAGCGATAACTCGCTATTGACTCGACACACACACTCGACATCATGACCCATCATTCACACACCATTATAAGCATGAAATATATATTTATTTCATGCACTCATACCACTCCATGCACACACGCATGCATGCACACGCACACGGACAACAAGCCGAGTGCAAACCGTAGGTTGCACCAACACGCTGCAGCCTGTCGAGGGTCGCGGAACCGTCGCTCTACAAGGGGAGGCCGGAAAGCGGGTCCTCATCCCCGACGTGCTCTACGTTCCGGGGGTACATGCGAATCTGTTGTCATCTGGCCAACTGAAGGAGAGTGGAGTGCAGTTCCAGGGCGACGGCGACGACTTGCTGCTCGTCGCCGCAACCGGGGAGGTGCTCGGTCGAGCACGCTACACCATTGAGCTTGCACACCCTGCCCGTACCATCCTCATACCCAGGCGGCTGCGTCATGTACACATCCTCCTCTAAAATCCCATTCAGGAATGCCGTTGAAATATCCATATGAATGATGAATTTCCCACTAACAGCTGCATCTGCCAACAAGACACGGAGGGTAGGGGGTTTGGCAGTGGGAGCAAAGATCTCGTTGAAGTCCTGCTTCTCCTTCTGCATAAACCCCTTCGCCACCAGCCTACTCTTGTAGATGGTGACCTGCCCCTTGTCATCGGTCTTGATCCTCAGCACCCACTTGCATTGTATCGCTTTCTTCCCATCAGGCAGCACCACCAGATCCCATGTCCTATTCTCCAGCAGACTCTGGTACTCAGCATCCCTAGAAGCCAGCCACTTGTCCCTATCTGGTCCAGCTAATGCCTCCTCCATGCTAGCTGGTTCCTCTGGTGCAGGGGCAAGAAAACAGTACGCAGGCTCATCCTCCTCATCCGGGTCATAGCCATGAGGTAGAATCAGCAATGCCTCTTCGGTCCCTAGCTGCTGCTCTGCTGCATCAGTTCCTGCAGTCAGCTTCTTAGTAGCCATACGGGTACGTCCTGGCCTGGAGACGGGTGTCTCCCATCCCTTCATAACGACACCCTTCGGCTTCTTAGTTTTTCCCTGCTGCTTCTCTCCTCCCTCGGGTCCAGCAGCTCCAGTAGTGCTGCCGCCAGTTTCCACACCATTTTCTCCACCAGCAGATGCCTCCTGTATCTTCTCTCCATCACCATTTCCAGCAGCTGCCTCCTCTCCCTCCTCCCACACACTAGGAGTCAGGTCCAGCTGCATGGTGATCTGCTCCATCTGCTGGGACACCCTTGCCTCCGGCTGTTTCTCCCAGCTCCCATACATCATGCCCTCAATGAATTTCACATCCCTGCTGTCAAACAACACACCCTTGGATGGTTCCCACAGCAGCCATCCCTTGCTCTCAGCAGCCAGCCCCAAATGCACACACCAGATTGCACTCGCCCCCAACTTACTGCGGTAGGTCTTGGGGACGTGGGCGACTGCCATGCAACCGAACACCCTCAGCATGTCCACCGGCGGCTTCCTCCCAAGCCACCTCTCCAACGGCACCCACGAGTCATCCCCAACCTTGGTGAGCACCCTGTTCCTAGCGACAGTGGCGTGCCGGACAGCATGAGGCCACATAGAATTGCTCAGCCCAGATTCTATGAGCAGCGCCCTAGCTGTCTCCAGAATGGTCCGGTTTGCCCGTTCTGCTACACCATTGGACTGTGGGGTATAAGCCGTGGTCAGCTCTCTCTGGATGCCCTGCTTCTTGAGCCAGGCCGTCATTTCAGCTCCAAGGAACTCACCACCCCGGTCTGTCCTAATCCGCTTCACTACACACTTCGCCTGCTTCTCCACGAATGGCAGCCAATCGTCCCGTATCGTGGAGGCGGCGTGGTCCTTCTGCTTCAGCGGATACGCCCACATCAGCCTGCTCCAGTCATCCACAATTGTAAGAAAATACCGCTCCCCCTTGTGCCCTTGCACCGGCAGCGGCCCCACCAAGTCCATGTGGACCAGCTCCAAAGGCTTCTTGCTCCTGCCAGCCACACTATGGAA